AAAATTACAAACAAATTGCTTGTATCGTACGCAGTGGCGTGCTTTTTCTTAGTTGGCTGTGATTTCATTCGTGTAAACTACATAAATACTGAAGAGCTACTTAAGTATGGTGCATTTTCCGAATTTTTTGATACTTGTTAATGTAAAACCATATTCTCCACAAAAATTTGCAAAATTCCAGTGACGCATCATCTAGTTTGATATCGCGCCTTTTTATTTGGCAAATAAGGGGAGTGACCACTTGCATTCCTCAGAGCTTGCCGATTATGAATGTTTTCATTCATTAAGAGGACTGTTTTGTGAGAAAGCATTTTCTAGTTTACATTATGTGGTGTGGTCCATAGTGACTGCAGTATTTTAACACTGGGAGACATTATAATAATAATATATCCGAACGTATTTTAGGCCACTTGCATAGCATTTAATTTGGAAGCCTTCGGAACAAGCTTGTACTTTAAATATGCATGCGAATTATAAATCCACTGACCACCGAAATGCTAAGTTATGTTGATAATTAAATGTTAAAATACAGTTGCCGAAAAAGCGTTCAAAACGAAACTTTCCACGTCCTACTGGAGCGCATGGTTGCTATTTTGCAAATATGCTAAAATTAGATGGGCATATCTACGGTACATAAGACGGCTTTTATCGACTTTAATCTGTGTGTATATCACTATTTCCAGAGACCACATTTTGAGCCGCAGTTTCATCAATGTTTAGTAGACAGAGCCTTCAGGCTAATGCTGTAGTAAAAAGGGAAAACTATTTCCACTTCGAAAAAAAACAGGAGACATTCGTCGAGGAGGTATATTTTTATTTGGCCTTTAGAGTTAATTATTCGGCTGTCCATTCATTGCCATATCAAATATAGATAAGGCTCACAATATTCGCCTCCGCAAGCAAACGTTCCCTCGGTTGGCATTTGTGATATACGCAACAGGTACGGTTGGGCGCGCGTCTTGCAACCCAATCTGTGTCGAGGGTATTACAGTCTCTGAATCCACTACTTAAACGCGCCTTTGTCGCCTAAAAATGTCTGATGCCGATTATAGGTGTAGGAGGAAGCGCATTTCATTGCTTGACTGTTCTGGCTGCATAATCAGATACGTACGTTGTACCTTTTTTTCATTTTCGTGGGTCTTACTTTGAGTCGTTTATGACATTTTTCAGGATCTGCAAAAAACAAGAGTCAAAAGAAGCTACCCTCAAAGCGACCACGCAAGGACGCCTGATTTTCAGACTGCGGACACTATTTACATCACCCTTCCCCTCCCCGTGTTGTTCAGCATTTTGAATAACATCTTCCCGTATGCCTTCTTTACGTTGAATTCTGTTTACCGTCTCACGTCTGTGGGCCCAATAGCCTCGTCGTTTATCATATCCGAGCAGCTAGCTCCAATTGCAGAAACCGATGCGACTATCTGCATTTTCGGCGAATCCATTCTTTTCCTCATTCCGGCTAAGTTCGCACCTTCTTACGACGTAGTCTGGTCGGCATTCATGATGCATCATAACTCTCCTGTTTCGAAGCATCACTTTCGCCATATGCAGCTAGTTTCTAGAAAAGAAGAAATTGGTCGATTAGAGGTAAACTTGAGCAGTTTGAACAAATAGGTAAGAAAAAGTATCCTTATTTGTCTAACGTAAACCTGGTCCCATATAGAATAAAGGAAAATATGATATTTGACAGGACTGATTTTAGAGGCCCTAAAAATCCTGTCGACTTATAATAAAAAACTACTTTTAAATGCACAGTAGCCCGACTTTGAATCTTTTCGTTAAATTCCACCGATAGGAGGACAAAGTTCCATTTTCGGTAGGGATTCCTTGGGGGGCCGCCTGGGGAATGTGTGAAGCGCACCCCTCAGGCTCACGGGCACCTGATTTTAG